CCCCAAAACCCCAAAACCCCAAAACCCCTGCAACATCAAATAAAAAATTTCTCGAATTTTAAGTTAAATATCTTGTAATAAATCGGTATTCTTTATCATCTATTATTGATACAACAGCAAAGTTTATATGAATTCATTTTTTATGTTTAAGTTATCTTTCCCACTTTGTCAATAGCTTAGATGGGTCTATCTAAGCAGATCTATAATCATAACAAGTTTATTATTCTTCCTAGTACTATTCCTTTTATATCATTTTTTAGTAAACAAAGGTTGCCCCTAACTAAGGTCCTGGAGAATTTTCAATATCCTTCATAGTTTATGACACTAGATTTATACTGTCAGTGTAATCGTTAGTTTACTTAATAGACTGTTAAAAAGTCTTAAAGTTTTTCTTAATCTTTTAATGACTTTTTTCACAATTAATAACTATATTTCTGGCATTCTATCGATCTTTATCATAGTCTTTAATATGCTCGTGAGATAAGTTCTTATTAATCTTAATCAAATTTGAAGCGACACTCTTCCTTGATACATCTAAGTCTAAAAATCAGTTTTGCACGGATTAAGATCAATTTCTGAGAGTGTCAAAATGCTATATATGAGGCTTCTTGATTTTAATTTTAAGATGCTTTTGCTCTTATTGAATTTACTAGAATAACTTCAACTGAGTATTCAAGAGTAGCTTTTCTTGAAACAACTATTTACTTAAATCCTCTGAAACAGAGTTTTCTGAAATTGAATGAAAATTTTGAAGAGATCTGTTTAAATTTGAGTTTTTATTGGTGACAAAAGTATTATATTTGCTCTTTACATTGAAAGGACTCATACTTCTTTCAAGATTTCTGGAAATTGCTTAATGGTTGAGTTTTGGAAATTTAAAAATAGTCTTGCTCTATGTGGGAGAAGTGATTACTTTCGAGGTATCTTTTGTTGATACATCTATGTGTTTCTTATTTGATGGATTCACATCTGAAGTCTTGTTAGTATGATTTAATTAGCTTTTCAAAGTTTCTTAAGAAGCTTGTCCAAGCTTGTCTCTAAGTCTGAATTATGACTCTTGCGTATTTAGTTTTATTTTAAATTCTTCTTTGGGAAAGCTTTCACCCATATTGAATACAATACTAGATTAATTTGGCTCTTGTATCTGATCCTATGTCTTATTCAAATTTGCTTGCTAATAATTGATAATACATTGGTTCTTCTTTATTTCCAGTGCTTTCTATAAATTAGCATATTTAGCTTGCTTTATTTACTGCATAATTACTCCCAAAGGCTTCCTTTATTTTTACTATGCCTCCTAAACAGGACTCTACTCTAATATACCATCTAAATCTTTGAATGCTTTGGCATCTTCATCAATATTATCTTTCAATTTACTATTTTTCTAATTTGCCATTTTCTTTAACCATATTGCTTTTCTTATTTTCTTAATGTACTCATGAAATTTCTTATTTCTGATTCCACTACTGTCTTCCATAAGTTTCCTAGTCAGCTCTTCAAACTCTAATTCCTCCTTTTCCTTTTTAGTAAGTTCTTTTTATTAGAGTCTCTGCATAAAATCTCTCTTTTTAAACAAGTAATATGCCATTGGCTCATTTGAAAACTGCTGTATTTTGCAGGTAAATGGCAGATTTTAATTCATTCTAAGATTATATCGACCTTAGAGTACCTCAATTTAAGCTCGCTTAGGATCTTTTTTTAGATACACATTTTTAATCTCAGTGACTTAGAGGTAGTTTTGATTCTGCTCATCAATTGCTTCATAATCTTTCTTAACGTTATCCTCGATTTTCTTGAATCAATCTTCAAAGAAGGTATTTTCCTTCTTAAGTCTATTTGTTAATTCAATTTACTCCAGGTTCTTTTCCACTTCATTTTTGAACACCTTATCAAAAACTTAAACATGGTATGATCTCAGCATTTACTTTAATTTTTCTTCTTTTGCTGGACTACTCCTAATGTTTTCTATGATTTGGTCTATTGATTAGTCTGTCAAGAGAGAATTATACTCTTCCGCTTGCTATGCATATTTAGGATCAAGGATAGTGGGATCTAAAAAGAAATCACGAGTAATAGTCCCTTTTCAGTTGCTTATTGCCCTCCGTTAATTATTGACTGGGGAACCTTTAATTATTCTTCTTGGCTAAAAGCTCTTCTAGATTGCAGTACTGTATCTGGAATTTATGTGCTTTCAAACTAACGTTTGATCATTCAGTATTGACAAAGAAGATTTTTACTGTAATTATTACTCAGTATTCTCATCAATTGATATGGATGTCTCATAATATTTAATCTAATGATTCATTTTATGTTTTAATTATAATAACTCCTAAATTTGATGCAAAATTAATTTTAATTATACTTTTTTTCTTTTTAACTTTCAATTGCTTTTTAAGGGGTTTTGGGGTTTTGGGGTTTTGGGG